TGGAGGGGTTTGGAGGGATCCCAAGAGCAGGGCTGAAGGTCTCACAAGCTGGGCTTGGGCTGGGTCTGGAGGGGTCCAGTGGCCGCAGGGGAGTGTGGAAACTCTCCCACACACTCGCCAGGCCTGGGCTTGGGCTGGCTCTCCTACATAGTGGATGATTTGGCTCAATTACTAACATTTTAAGCTCTGTAATTGTTCTAGTTGCTATAAGGCAGTGTTGTAAACAGGAACCCCCACTTTGTAAAGGAAAACCAAACATCCTTCTGACAGTGACTGGGAAATCTGCTGTCCTTGAGGGCTAGTAGCGGGCTAGTAGCTGCCTGTCAGGGTGCTCAGAGGGATGTCAGGGTTGGGAGGGCAGTAGGCCAACTGCAGAGCCAGCAGTGCAAGGAAAAGGTGAGGGTCTAGAGCCACAGGACTGAGGAAGGGAGCTCTGCAGTGGCAATTCTTGGGGTGATGACGGTGTCCCCTGGAGTCCTGTTAGAAATGCGCATTCTGGGCCCTCACTTCAGAACAACATGGGTAGAACTTGGGGTGGGGTGAAATCCCAGGGGCTGCAGAGGATCCAAATTTGATAGCTCCTGATCCAGAGGAAAGTGGAACGTGGTGGTTCATGAGAGCATGTTCTGTTAAAAAGACAGTAATAACAAACGTTCTTTAAAAATTGTGCAAGGCGTGATAAAACATATTTTAAAAATTTATTGTAGTAGAAGACGTATTGCCAGGAACACCCCTCAAAGTTCTCCGCCTCACTTCCAACACGCTTACTCCCATTGTTCAGGCCACTTTCTGAAGCAGCCCCGAGCACCTCTCTTGGGAGTGTCAGTCTACTGTCATGGCCACCTTGATGTCCCCAGTTGGTTACAGACGCTTCCCTTCTGTGGTCCTTGTGATTTTGGGGGAGAGCCAAAGTCAGAGAGTGAGGTGGCTGAGGATGCAGTGATGTCTTCAGGAGCCTGCTTGCCTGGGGTGGCACTCGGCAGCAGTGTGCACTGCGTGCCTCCCACACACACCTGGGAAGAGGACTTCGAGACCCACTTCAGAAGGTGGCAGGAGGGATGGCATGGCGTGTTGGCGTGAGGCGGCACACTGAGGAGGGTTGCGAGAATATGTCTTTTACTGTAATATATATATATGTATATATATATATATTTATTTATTTATTTATATATATGTATTTTTTTCCCCGCTTGGAGTTGTGTTTATTAAATGAAGACATCAATGACTTCTAGGTGCACAGGATAAAAATACAGATTTGGTAGAGTTAGTTAACTTAGAAATACTATAGTACCAACAAAACTGAACAAAGATATAAACTTATAATTACTTGTACTATATGAAGATGATCAGGCTAATGCACTGATAAATCAGGCTTTTTACGGATAAAACATCATAAAAGCACGCCATTAAATTGTCCCAGGCAATAAATCTATCTATCTTTTTTTTCTTTGTATTTTAGGGAAGGGTCCACAGGGTGTTCAGGGTCTCACTACTAGATCAGACTCAGTGATCTGCCTGTTTACAGCCTCCCAAGAGCTGGGATTACAGGCGCACACCACCACACCCAGTCTCAGTTGCCTTCTCAGTACACCCCGGGGGCAGGACTGGCACAGTGTAATATATTTTTAAAAATTAAAAGCTCATATTTTTAATCACTCTGGTATTTTTTGTTGTTGTTGTTGTTTTTTGGGTTTTTTTTTGCAGAACCAGGGTTTGAACTCAGACCCTTGCGCTTGCCAGGGAAGCGCTTATTCCACTGAACCATCTCCCCGGCCAACTCCGGTATGTTTTTGATAGTAAATACACAGCTGAAATATTTATAAAGTATACCACACATCTTGCTTTTTCCCTCCTGGCTCAAGTGTGTGGGACACTATGATATAACCACTATGAATGGGTACTGAAGCGGGGGAAGAAGAGAAATTTTTTTTGTCTCTGTATCATCTACAGTAGAGTTTAGTATTCATGATATGTTGTCTTTTTGCCATTATTATGAAAGCAATTATCAAATATTTGCATATAGTTTTTTCATGTAATTGTCATTGCAAACAAAAAAAATGAAAATTTGAGTAGAAATTTATTTTATTGTTTGCCGTGCACTGAGTTAAATTTACTTTTAACTTTCCATTTCCCTTCTGTGTTCGTGGTGGAGTGTTAATAGCATGTCTGAACTAATTGCGGTCTTGATGGCCTGTTTCTATTCCCTGTCATTTTTGGCAGTAAAACTCTTGCGTTTGGCATCCTTTCACACTGCCACAACCACGCTAAGTTAGCTGAGAAGAATCTCAGAATAACTAGGCAGAAGAACTCCAAAAATATCATCAAGGATCGCGCAGGAGACGAAGCATGCAGCTTCGCTTATGTGTCCGTTCCGGGGAAAGCGTGTTCTGATGACGCCCCCCCCCACCATGGTACTGCTGGTGGCGGCTGCCTTCGCTGTGCATTAATGTACCAGGAAAGGCCTCTGGGGGCTGCAAATGACATGACAGGACCCCTCCTTGACCTGAGTTTTATCAAAGACAGAAAGCATTACTACTCATAGGTGAAAAGACCAGGAGGAATTACTTCAGGCCTGGCTGGCTCCAAGGGCTCAAAGCATGTCACACGAGGCAGTTTCGGACATGGCTCCCGATGACGTTTGCCTCCTGCTGCTCACATCTGCGTGACTTTCTTCCCTTGGGCATAGTTGGACCTAGACATTTGCTTTTGACAGAATACAGCAACAATGAAGGAATAGCATTCTAAGCTTAGGTTGCAGATGGGCCTTGCTTGCCTGTGCTCACGTCTCTCAGGAACCCTCCTCTGGGATCAAGCTGTGGGGTTGGGAGTGGCCCTGTGGGGAGGCCCCGGTGACACAGGACTCTGGCCAAAGTAAGACTCCACCTGGCCTGACAGTGGACATGTGAGCAAGCCCAGTGGGATCCTCTGGAGCTCTGTGGCTACGGCTTGGAGATGCTGTGGTCCTCATCCCCTGGCCTGCAGCCGTGTGAGAGGCCCTGTGTGTCCCTGACCCAGGCATGCATTACTCTAAGCTTGTTTGGGGGCAGTTCTTTACATGGCACCAGCTATCAAGGACTGATGTCACCCTCACAGATATTCCTCTACCCACTCAGTGCCTTCCTCTATGCCCTTGTTGCCTGACAGGCTCTCCTCAGGAGGGACAGAGAGGCAGGCAATGACTCGAGGCCCAAGGCCCAGCTCCCTCAGCATCATGATGCTGTCATTGGGAAGACATGAAGAAAAGTTCCTGGCATTGAGTCTTGTGAAGTGGACTTGAGTCTCCTGCTGGAACATTAGCTTTAGTATTTCTTGTGTGACTCCCTCTGGTGGTTTGGGAATCTGTGAGAAACTGTATCTGGAGAATTCAAGGGCAGCCCTGAAGGCTCCTCACTATAGCCTTGTTAAGTTCCATCTTGAGCCAAAAATCAGTGTGGCCAAAAACCAGGAGAGGGTACATAGTGCCCTCTCCTCACAGCCGAGAGAGAGTCCCCACTGTCCACCTCCCAGCACAGCCCCGATGACCTGAAGATCGCAACCAGGCCCCGTGTCTTCAAGGGTCAGCCACTCCCATTAGTGATGTTCTGGGGCCAAGTGTTTAGTGTGCAGGAGTGCGTGTGTGTGTGTGTGTGTGTGTGTGTGTCTCATGTGATGTCAGTGGAGCTCTGCTGGAATCCAGGCTGTGGGGCAGGGATGGAACAGCTGCCTTAGATGAGGGAGTGTGTGTGTGGGGGGGCAAAGGTCTTGAGAGAGTGCCATCATCCATTTATTTTTATTATTATTTAATGACTACGAGTAGTGATTATGTCTTGGTTATTTTTCTCTTGTTGCTGAAACAAAATACCTGACACTCAAAACTAGGGAAGGAAAGGTTTATGTAGCTCACAGTTTGTGGAGGTTTCAGTCCACACTCAGCTGGCTCCAAGGCAGAGTGGTACGTGGCAGAGCGCAGCAGTTCATGGTGGCAGAAAACAGCAAAACAAAAGCAAAAAAGGGAGAGTAGTGGCAGAGAGCAAGCCTGTTTCCCTCTCTTCTGTTGCATTCAGGCTGTCTGCCCCAGGGCGGGGGTAGCGCTCACACCCATAATGCCAGCACTGGATCGAGAATTAATCAGAGACTCTAGAAGCTGCGCCATGACTACATGAGACTTTGGGGTGGGGGCATCTAGACACAAACCACAACACATCAGGCAGCTACTAAAGCATTCATAGTTTTGATTTTTATTTTCTTTCTTCATGATCAAGTTTATTTTTATTGGCCTCCCAGGCCTGGCAGTTGGGACCACATTGGCATGGAGGGCTGACTGGTCTACAGCAGAGCTCCCTTCCATGGTGCTCGAAGCTGGATGTTTCCTGGCTGGCCTTTCTCTGGCCCACCTCCGCTGGGAGTGGCAGAATGTCATAGGGCTGTAGATTTGGAGAACCGGGCAGAGTCCTGGCTTGGGTATTTATGAACCGTGCTGCCTTGGCCTCTCTGCACCACAGACTCTTATTACATAAAATGGGAACCTTAGGGTCTGCATTGTAAAGGTTTCATAATGATTAAATAGCACAAAACTCAGGCTATTATATGTACAATTATATGTAGACATATTTTTATTTTCCTAGATTATCAATATAAATGTTTTAGTGTCCTTCTGTAAATGTAGAAACCAAATCCCAACACGGCACTTCAGATAGTGATGGGGTGAGTCAGCTCACCCTCTCTGACCTCTTCTACTCACGCAGCTTAATGTGAAATTGATCTCTTTTGGGGGGGCTGGAGAGGGGTGGGTGCAGCCTCACCACACTGTTGACTCACTCGGATCTGATAATAACAAAATCTTTCCCTGTTCTTCAGTACAGGAGCTGCTGATAGACCTCTGCTCCTATCACGCACTTGTCCTACTGCATTTGGTACCTAAATGCTTGGCTTCCCACTCATGCCTGCGGCTCTGTTTTGCTTTCGCAGACACGGTTATTTTCTCTGCCTGGTCTTTCTGAATCTTTTCATTTATCCAACAGATCGGCTGGATGCGCACTAGGTTGAGGAATGTGCCCGCAAGCTGAGCAGGCCCTGCATCCCTGGGTCATGCAGGACGCTGGAGGAGCCCAGCCCAGGGACTGACCTAGGGACCAGAAGAGACCTGTTTGGCTGCCATTGGCTGATCCAGCAATCTGTACTCTCTATTTAACAAGCGCAGGGTGATTTTGATTGTTTCCAGTGTTCAACCTGTGCAGCCTTGCGTTCTCCACTAGCAGGCCGTAAAGCCTTTCTGAGTGCTGTGTTGAAACTCATAGCTTGTATCTGATCTACATTGTTGTAAGTAGAAAGAAATGGAAGTCATTTCTGTGTCATCTGTGTCATCTGTGTCTCTTAGTTGAGCAGAAGTCCAAGGCAGGCATTTTTATTACTTGTGAATGATACTTTTGCTGACGGTATTGGCTTCTTGCACACCACAGTTCCAACAATTGCTGACTAAGAAAAGCTCTTAACGGTAGGAAGTCCCCAACTTCTGAACAAGTTCTGCTCTGGGAGGATGGTCATGAAGTGGATTCACTCATAAGCGGGCAAAGTGAGTCTTATGCAGTGTACCTGTGAGAGTTCACGACTTGGATGCTCGTAAGTCAGGGATTTACTGTACTATATTCTAAGAAATGCTGCATACATGAAGACATATGCGTGACTTTACAGAAGTGGAGAGCATATTTATAATTATTTGATACAGTTTTGTGTGATTTGATTTTGATTTTCTTTCCCTTAGTAGATTGATTACATCCGTTGCTCTCAACTCTCCTATTCAAAGAAGCCCGCTTTCCTTCCCAAGGTGTCTGTGTTAGCGACCTACTATGTGCCCATCCATCACTTAGGTATCACACAGTAATGAGCACATACTTGTAGGAGTGACATTCAAAATATATAGCATCCGGGATATGTGGCGATAGCCAGTTAGGCTGAACACTGCTGACACATCCGCTGTGAGCTTACCAGTGTAGATGGGTTGAAAGCCAGCCCTGTACACATACAGACACACACATACAAATACTCTGTAGAGGAGTCTTTTTTTTTCTTTCAAAATGCAACAATATGAAATCCCAGCCATTTCCCTTCCAGGTATCCTCCTGAGAGTTAAAGACACCATACTACAGTGACACACACATACCTGTGTTTATAGCAGCACAATTCACAATAGCTGGATCTTGGAGGCAGGGTATGTGTCTGTCCTCATGGACAGATGAAGAAAATAGGGCACTTGCATACAAAGGAATGGCACTCCTCCATAAAGAAAACCTTCAAGTCATCTGTAAGAAAAGCCTTGAGACCATACTGTTAAGTAGAATAAATTGGACCCATAAGCTTAAATCGCACATAGTTCCTTGTATTTAAGAAACCCAAAAATATAAATAAAGAGCAAAATAAAAGATAGAGCATAGGAAACAGGGAGACAGAGCATTCCCAAATGGGAAGAAATTAAGAGATGGGGGAGGAGAGGGACGGGATGTCAAAGGAATCGAGAGGACTTGGTGCTATGTGGATGCGCCGACCCTGGGCAATGCCATGTAAAGCTTATGTACTGCCAACATGGACTAATAAAAAGTAACCACATTGTGACTATTGTTGAGTTATTATTGTGTTTTTGCATGGTTGTGTTATTCTTATTGTATTTTACCCCAAAATACTTCATCCCTTAAATTCCAGCTGGGATAGGCGCTCCTGTGTTTTCTGTAATTGCTGTACACGGCCACGTGGCTGGGTTGCGTGTAGTGATGTGTATTTCACAGCGCCCTCTTAGCACCGCCCTCAATGCCAGGGTCTCTGTTACTGTGAACAGTACCGTAAGCACCGGTATAGTGTCAGTATGCATGCGGCTCGGACTCCGGGCCACTGAGTCCGGGTGTGGAGCAGGAGGACTGACGGACTGACGAGATTCAGACGTCCATGAAAACTGACATGTCCACAAGATTCTGAGAAACCTTCCCCCGGCATCCCAGGCAGCAGGGAGTGAGTGGCTTTCTGATTTCTGCCACCCCAAATAGGTATAAAGTAATCTCATCTCTCCAACTAGTAGTGTACTTGAGGGCCTACTCCTGGGTTAGCTGCCTGAATCTTTTCTCTAGCATGTTGTGCGTCCTTCTAACAAAGCCTTCCCCCTTTCCCCAGCTCCAAGCCCGCATTGTAAGCACTGCACCCGTTGCTTCTCCGATTGTCCCTGAGACCACAAGGTGGCAGGGGCAGCCCAGGAAGGGTGAAAGTAATGACTCTTAGCAAAATTGGCTGAGACTAAGATTGCCTCAGAGTTTTGTTTTGATGTGGACCCTCTAGACCCTGCGCAGGGATTCTGAGTCCTAGGTCCGGCAGTGCAGTGTAAATGAATCCTTAATTAATATCTCTAGGGGTGTTCCGTGCGCAATTGAGTTAGGGGTCCAGAAGTGTAGGTTGCTCAGCGATTGGACAGCCAGGTCGTGACAGTCTCATAAGGACAAGTTCTGCAACCGCCCTGCTCAGCACAGGACAGCAGGAAGGGCCACAGTGGAATCCAAAGCCTGTCCCAGCCCAGGGGACCTTAGCACAGAGGAAGCGCGGCTGCAGTGCGACAAATGGCCACAGGGTGGCAGTGCGGCCCTGCTAGGCTAAGTCGCCCCAGTCTGTAAGAGGCAGATTTAGGCCATGGCCCAGGAGAGTGTGAGGGTGAGGTGGCAGGGGATTCCGGTTTAGTAGAGAGCAGGCCAAGCTTAGGGGGTTCCAGGGATGGCAGAACCCAAATGTACACCCAAATCTGTTGGATGCCAAGCAAAATGTTCTTTAGAATCAATAATTGGAACTTTATGCAGTGTTATGGTTTGGACCAACACCCTACCGCACGGCACGCATCAGAGTAGAACCTCCACAGGGGAGGCTTCAGGGGGATTATGTCACTGGCAGCCTGTGGAAGTGGTGGCTGGGTGATCTGAAGCGGGTATCCAGGGCCGGGACCCTCACCCCATTTCTGTGCTTTCCCCTGCCACAGGCTTAGCCATTGTGTCGGGAACGACATAACTGAGTACTCAGGCACTGACACCCCCTGATGCCATGAGCCAGCCTCCCCTCCCCTCCTCCGAGTTGTTCATCTCAGGCGTTTTGTTGCAGTGACAGGAAGCTGACACATACAGGGGTCCTAGTTGCTTCTGAACATATAATCAGTGCTCGTGTACCTGTTACTGTCTTCCTGATGCTGAACTTTTGTCTTTCCTTCCTCCTGTCCTCAAAGGAGTTGGCAAGACCTAATTAGCCAAGAATGCTTAAGCCCTTTGTCCTTTGCATGTTTACAGGATCAAGACAGAATGATTGGCTGGTGATGACATAGCAGCCGTGGGCTTGCTGCCTCCGCCGTGGAGCCAGGACAATGGTCACACTAGTGTGTGGACCAAATTCAAGTTTTGGAGATAACACGTAATTTTAAAATATACATTTCAACAGCAGGCAGGGTGGTGCACACCAGTAACCTCAGCACTTAGCAGTCTGAGGCAGGAGGGCTGCCGTGAGTTGAAGGCCAGCCTGAACTGCACAACGAGACCCTGTCTCAAAAAATTAAAAAAATGTAAAATGTTTTGTTCCACAAAGCAAAATGAAACATCTACCTTTCATTGTCTTTCACTGGGACGTTAGTTCTGCAGTGAGCTGCAGGCCCTGCCGGGCCCTTTCTTTCCGTCTGCGGCTTTGTTCCTCAGTGCACCTGCCTGCTGTGTGATGGGGCCTGTCTCTGTGGCTGCAGGATGAGGACTGCTTTGGGTCCCACTGTCCCTTTCCCCTGGCTGTGCTTCCCTCCCAGGTGTCGTTGTCCCCTGACACCTGTGATGGCTGCACCAGCCCTTCCACTGTGCTGTGGGATCCAGCATCCAGCCAGCCCTGGGTCTGCAGGGCGAAATTTAACCTGTCAGTGCTTGGACACATGCTCAGGCGTTTCCAGCCCGGGAGCCGAGGGCAGTGGAGCTGGACGTTGCTGAGGGCTCGTGACCAGGTGTGCATGTCGTGTCAGGGAGAGGACAGTACCCAGGTTGGTTCAGGTCCCACCTGCCTGCCCTTTTGTCTTAATTGGAATTGAGGAGAAGCAGGAGGCATGAATCGGCCAAGAGCAAGACAACAGAAGCTGGCCTTGGGGACGCCTGCATTTGCCCAGTCACTCTGCGACAGGTGAGGGTGAGGGTGAGGGCCCAGACCCTTCCACATCCACGGGCGACCTGGGCAGGCAGAGCCCCAGCTGCTGCTCATGTCCAGCCCATTGCTCCTTCCCCGAAGGCCTCAGTGTCCTCTGTCCATCCTCGCTCTCCACAGGCAGGTAAGTGGAGCCACTCTGTCTCACTTACGGAGGAGGACACCATGGCTTGGAAAGGCTGGCTCATGCTAGGACGCGCGGCCGTGGGGCTGGGGCTCCGACTCCCAGCTGATTTCTGAAGTCATGCACACCGGATCTCCAGGAGCTTCTCAGGCTGCCCGCTTCCTGCCCAGCACCTGGGCCAGACGTTGAAGACCTGGATGGAAAGGGTTGCGTTTGTTGGCCTTGGATCTCAGGGTTGATCCCAGTGCTCAGTGCAATAGATCAAGTGTTTGGATGAATGTGTATATGGATGAAAAAAAAGCGTCCCCCATTGAGCTGTGTTCCTGACCTTGCAGTTTCTTGGGACAGATGTCTCTGAGGGTTTGGGAGGACAGCGAGGCGCCAGTGAGCCCCACCGAGCTGCCTGTACCAGACTCACACCTGGGCTGAGTCTTTGGCAGTTGTCCCACAGACTGGTGAGCACTCTGGTCGCCTACCTGACGCCTGTGACCATGTGGCAGCTGTGTCACCCTCGGTTGAGGCCAGAGGCCCAGAGTGCGGCGCTGCCACCTCACTTCCACACACCCTCGCTGAGTTCTCCAGACGCAGGCTCACTGTGTGCTCTGCCAGCATCTAGTCCTGGGTGGGGCTGAAGTGTGAGCTGGTGAGGCCCCAGGGTGGCTTAGAGCCATCCATGCATGGAGCTGAGAGAGTCGGAGCTGTGTGTACTGGAGGATTACTGCTGTCTACACTGGGGGGGGGGGGGTGGCACTGGCTATGGGGAAGGCAGAGGCAGGAGAGCTCTTCAGAATGGTCTAGAATCAGGCCTAGGGCTGAGTGCTCATAGCCTTTCAATGTTGCAACGATCAGAACACACTAGCTGTCCCAGGAGGAGGCACGAGCGTGGCATGCAGCTCCCACGTCAGGTGATGCCAGGGAGGAGCTTAGGAGCCGTCTGCAGCCTGTGCCTGGGAAGGAGGCATTGGGTCTCTGAGAGGGATTGCCTCAGGACGCCCACAGATGGGCACAGTGCCAGCCCCTCTGCCCAGCTTGGAGCGGAGATCTGGGCCAGGTGTGAACGCATTGAAGACCAGCACAGCACACGGAGCCCATCTAATCAGCAGGGCCCGGCTTCCTCCTTCCACCAGAGAAGGGAATTGGTCACAAGATGTATCTCTTGTCCAGGATTCGTCGCCTCTGTTTGCACTAGCAATCAGCAAAATAATGACAGTAAAGCAGTACCCTTCTGTCTTTTTCTAGATAAGGATGTGCTAATATAAGTGATGGGTTTAATTCTAAATCATGACTTACCCCAAAGACTCTCAGCAATTTATGCAGTAATTTTCAAACAACAATTAAAGATGAAAATCGTCATGATCTTCCATGTAACCATGCCTTCCATGCAAGCAATGATCTGAAGAACCACCCAGTAGGGCAGCCAAATAGTGAAAAAAGCGATTGATTTAGACCTACTGATAATTTATAACTTGGCCTAGATCCCTTGTGTACCATTGTTTATGTAAATTCCTGGTAGTTACTACATATCTCAAGGATTAGCTCCTATGCAAGGCAAATGATTAATTTATTAAATTTTAACTTTCTGGGTCAGGGAATCTTGTACATAGTGGATTTCTTTTCTGGTTCCAATTAGTGTTTTCATCTCTCTTTGTCATCTGCCAGGTATACTCTGCTTACCCCTTTATTTTCAATTTTTTTTTTTTATCATTTATTCTACCTGTTTTCTTTTGATTTGTTTTAAGCCAACCTGGTGCTCTCTGCCTTTTAATGGACCAATTCAGTTTATATTGTGGCAATTGATAGTTTTTGCTTCTGTGTGTTTATTTTAATTTACTCCTTATCCTTTCTCTTACTTTTACTAGGTTAATCAAGAAGTCATTTATTCCTTTTCTCTCGTTAGTTTTCACTGGGGTGTAAATGACACATCTTAAAGTGTACATGTTCCTAAGTTCTGCTTTAAGATATGGGCTGGACGTATGACCAAAGTTGAGATGATGAACATATCCACCCCCCCTGAAAATTTCCTAATGCAATTTTGCAATTTCTTCCACCCCACACCTTGGTCCCCAAATTACTGGCCAGCTTTGTTCATACAGTTTGCACCTTGGAGCAGCTTTCTAATGCAGTTTGGGGGTGTGTTTTTGCTTGGCTTCTTTCTGTCAGCACTGGTGGTTTTCTTTTTCAGGGTCACCAATGGTGTCACGTGGACAGCAGCCCTCTCCTGTGCATTGCTGCGTAATATTGCAGTGCTTGGGTACAGCCCCGTTGG